AACGTTTTGTTGATATTGTGAGTGCACACAAATAAAGCTAGACCCTTTACAGTTTAGAATGATGTATTACTCTTACCTTTATGAGCAAAAATGACGGTGTATCCACTGAAAAAAAATGAAGTGATCGCGCTGGCGCCTCCATGTCCTGCAAAGCGCGCTTTAGCTTCCACTCTCCGCACAAACTATTGGATATAGTGCACATTTATCTAAGTTTAACGTTAAAACATTGTTATATGCTTGAACTGTTTTATATCTATAGATTTTATTTTAGGCAAGTCGTGATGATTTGAGAAGGCTAAATTGATCAAACATAGGCTATGATCAGCTCACTGTCTGCCGCTGTCCGCTTGGTCGTTACTTTAAAAAACAAAAACTTATATTTAACAACCAAAAAATGCTCCAAACGTTTTTCTAAATTAACTTAATAAAAAAAACGAAACGGAATATAATCACTTTGCCATTACATACAAAACTGAGCTATTTTAATATAGCTGAAACGGTAGTATAAGCTGTTTTGGGAGAAGGGGGGAAAAAAGACGGGCTCGGGCCGGTAATTCTGATAAGCTGTCGGACATGGCCGGGCTAGGGCCTATATTTGAGGCCCGTGCAGGGCTCTAGGCTGAACATCTTCAAGTGAGTGGCGGGGCAAACCGAAAGTTGATGCCAAAAGTCCAGCACTCTCCTACCTTCACTGCTGCGACTACTCTTGTTTGTAATTACTTCGCTGGCATTTTCCACATTTCGTTTTTCTCCCTTAATAACAAATGTGTCGATTCTGATGTTCAATTATACCGAACTAATGGCTGCTGATGACTATTTGAATTGAATTCTGCCAAAGTGCGCGCTTGTAAGTGTTCGATAAATGCGTAACGTTAATTACATGAGTATAAGTCTGCTCATGTCTGAAAATAATATATGAAAAACAAAATGATTTTACATAACACAAACATATATAGCTTATATTTGTTTAGTACATTTTTTAATTCATGTAAAAACTAAAATGAATTGTAAAATTGAAAGTTATTTTTTTAATTGTGTTGAGCATGGTGGGCCGCATTTGAATTCGTGACGGGCCGCGGGTTGAGAACCACTGCTCTATGGTATGTCTTCTACACAGCTGCTTTCAGATGCCTGCGGGTATGAACAGTCAAATACACTTCAAAATTCAGTCAGTAAAGTACATTTTTACTAATTCCCTAGTAAAAATGTACTTTATCTTATATATTATGTCAGTATTCCAGCTGCTTTCAGCAATCAATAAAACAAAGACTGAAAATAAAAACCTATATAAAATGTTCATATATCAACATCATTGGTTTCTACACTTGGTTATTTCCCTGTAAAGACTGGCGTGTCTTTCGTGTGATTCTCAGCGTAATGTTAATCGTTCTCTGTCTTGTATGGAGGACGTGTCACAGTCTGTCACCTCTCCTCCCGCTTGAATACAAACAGACTGCAGACAGCTTCCAATAGTGAGAGGTTAAGATACTCACGACCCTGTTATGTTAATCTCTCTCTCTCTCTCTCTCTCTCTCTCTCTCTCTCTCTCTCTCTCTCTCTCTCTTCTTTTTACTTTCATTTGAGAGCATGTTCTCAGAAGTTGCCCAGTTATTTATGTTATTAATCACTGGCTGTAAAACACAGCGCCACGGATGGAGGCGTTAAGCTCAGGTCCGTAGGCTCGTGAATTCTCCGGCATGCGGCATGCGATCTTTAACTATGGAGGTGTTTGAGACTGAATTAGATCAAAGTGGGCCTCGTGTAAGGATTACAGAGGCGAGAAAATGCAGCAGGCATAATATTGACAATGCTAACAGAGAAGTGAGGAGAAACAAGCTGATGTGGTAGGCAACAAGGCTTTCTTTCTTGATTTTAAGAGCATTGGACTGAGGGCTATATATAATGCTACTGATCTTCTGTGGAGATGTAAAATTCATTGTCGATGTTTTCTCCTGAAATGTTGAATAATTTCAGGAAATTAAAAAAACGTCTTTCGGTATGTAATGCCTCCGCGTTTTCTGATGTTATTGTGAAAAAATAGTGTGTATGTTATTCCAAAGAAAAGTCTTTGTAATCTTTCATCATAATGTAAATACTTTCCCTGTCTCTAAAACAAGTTTATTTTCATCTGATGTAATCAGGCCCCTTTTTTAACCCCTCCCCTAACCACATGACTCCATTCTGACATGTGGTCAATGCCATAAAAAAGGAGAAATCTTTTAAAAACAAGTTTAAAACACATGAGGCAAGCTTTTAGAAATGTACTCGCATGTGTGTTTCATTTGATTTCTTAACAATAAAAAATAAATAAATAAATATTATTGTTGTTGTTGTTGTTACTATTTTTATTTGTATTTTTATTATTATTATTATTATTATTATCGTTATCATTATTAATATTATACCATAGTTTTAAGAAAACATTTTTTTTAAATGTGTTGTACCATATACACCTTAAATACTTGTGTACATATCTTTATCAATATTCTTAAAATTTGAAATATATTTTATACAGTTTATTTAAAATATATGTACAAGTTTTTTTTTTTTATTAATTCATTAATTAATTCAGAAATATCATACATTTTTGGGTCACACCAAATGACAACCTTGCTTTACCATACAAATATCAAATTATCTGATTACCTGATATTTTAAGATAATTATTGACCTTTGTCCGTTCTATGATATAATTTCCTGTTTGTTTGTTTTTTTCTGTTCTTCTTCTTCTTCATTGTTATATCAGTACAGTTGTATCACCCTCACATTTTTGACTTCACTGTATGACAATACTTTTGAAATCAGAAATTTATATCATCATAGACGAGCTCTAATTAGTCATTTTCCATATACCATATACACCTTAAATACTTGTGTACATATCAATATTCTTAAAATTTGAAATATATTTTATACAGTTTATTTCAAATATATGTAAAAGTTTTTTTTATTCATTAATTAATTCAGAAATATCATTCATTTTTGGGTCGCACCAAATGACAACCTTGCCTTACCATACAAAGGTCAAATTATCTGATTACCTGATATTGTAAGATAATTATTGACTTTGACATGTCCGTTCTATGATATCATTTCCTGTTTGTTTGTCTTTCTTCTTCTTCTTCTTCTTCATTGTTATATCAGTACAGTTGTATCACCCTCATGTTTTTGACTTCACTGTACGACAATACTTTTGAAAACAGAAATTAAAAACACTATCATCATAGAAGAGCTCTAATTAGTCATTTTATGTATGAATTGCATTTTTAATACACTGGCAGCATTACTCATCCCTAACCATCATCACTATGACAACAGAATGACTCTGGTTTCAGGGGACATTCTTTTAAAATGTAAGAATGTATGGTCCTTCTAAGTCTTTGTATTTAGCTGTTATTGTTTGCTCCTTTTCTAACTCTCTCAGGAACTCAGCAGGATTCTGTCCTGTTTCTCCATTGCTATATCTACCCCTTTTACTGACACAATACTGATCACTATCTGCCAACGAGAATACCGTTCATCTTTGTTGTCTTTTTTTGAAGCATTTTTGTGGGAAAAGGTATTGACAATGGAGAATAACAGACGGCTGCTGCCAATTTAGACAGGCGTTCCAGTCCGTGGAGATTTGAGCACATTTATTAGCCTGATCTACTGCCAAAGATCCCATCAGAGTGATAAGAGGATGGACAGGGCCTGACGTTTGAAACGGAAACACAAGGAAGCTGAGCGCTCTCGGGAGATTACAGGATGAGACAGATTAGAGGCCATGAGATTATGAGATATTAGATTTGATAATGGACTATGTGTGTTTTGTCTGTGATAATGTAAGAATTACAATCTGATTGGCTAAAGGTCTCCGACTAACAGGATTCTCACATTTCTCTCTCTCTCTCTTTCACACAGATGCAGATCTTCATGTATAACTCAGACGACTTTGACAGTCTTAACACAGCAATACGGGAGAAGCGAGTAATTGCGGCCATGGCTGTCTTCTTTCAGGTGAGAACTCGCTCGGTTTTGAAAGCGTCTTCATGTTCAGCCGCTGAGCTTTGTCAGTGCTAAGTGCTTGCATTAAACAGCATTGATTTTGCAAGGAGGTTTTCTCTCGTCCCATTAAGTTCATTGATACTGAAGCTTCACACTCACTGAAAACTCACTGCCGCTGTTTTCTATATGGAAAAACACACACGTATTCACTCCCTTTCTGCGCTGTTCTTCTGTCAACCCCGCCGA